ACTTATTAATAGCAGCCGAAACCTTAAACCCTATAAGCCCTAAACCTCTCCAAGCCCTAAACCTTTCAGATTCTGAGCCCTACAGCCATAAACCCGAAAGGGCCCCAAACCCACCAAACCCGCCCAACCGTGAGTCCGAGGCCCAAAAGGCAAGAAGCAACGCACGAGGCGATGAGAGGCTCTCGCCGGGGCTCAGGCTAAACAGTAGCCTTCGTAGAATCTCACCACATTTAGAGGCTTTTGTTTGAGGGTTTAGGGTTTATGCGCTTTAGACGGATCTTAGCCTTCGAATGTTTTGGTGGAATTCATAGGTTCTGGGGTTTATTGGTCTTGGAAGCATCGTAGGCCTTTGGGGCGATTTATGTATGGTTTATGGGTGAGAGGATTTTTGCTTGTTTTGGGGGGGGGGCCGAGGGCACAGGGTTTCGAGGACCGTAGCACCCTTTTTTGTGAAGGGGTAGGGGGTGGGGTTTAGAGTTATAATGGGTTTGGAAAGGGTTTCAGCCCCGTTGTGGATGTTTCAGGGTCTTGCAGTGTACGGATCTTGGTGGAACTTCAGTCCCTTGTTTTAGTGGCTCTGCGTTTTGGATTTACATTTATCGTTCAGGTCTAAGTCTTCAGCTCCATTGCGACCAGTCAGTCATGCCTCTAGAACTTAGGATTAGGGTTTAGGTTGCAGGGCTCATCTACGGGAGTTTAGAGGCTAAGTGTTTGCTGTTTTTCGTGACAGCTACAGTAGAAGACACGTTTTAGCAATAGGCTTTTTACAATCAAGGCTCAATAGGAGTACAAACAATATGCATGTATGACATATATATATATATATATATATATATATACAAGCATATATACATACACACACATATATATATATATGTTATATATTATAACTATTATATATGTTATATATATGCATGCATATGTATAGATACATACACATGAAGATATCTTGACAGTGTTTGGATGCTGGAAAAGACATTTCAATCGCAAGCACAAGAGCTAGAGCCGGCTCAGGAACCGAATTAAGCTTCTGATTGCAGCAGTGGTAGCAAGTGTAGCCACGGCAACTGCTACCTGCAATGGTCAGACAGGGTAAAGCAGCCCGCCGTGACGATGTGGTGTTTGCTCTAACATTTAGTCTTCTGTGTCTTGCCCTAAACCTAAACCCTAAACCCTATATAACCACAGGGAAGGGTCATGGACCTTTCTAGGTTTCTCGGTAGTGACCCTAACCTAGACACGAGAGAGTTGGGCAGGTTCGGGTCTGAGCCCTTCGATGCCACTGTTCGAGCGGAAGCTGTGAGTTTTAGTTCAGCGCTATTCCAGCCTGCCAGTTCACCCAAGAGGTTTGCAAACAGACTCTCTTCGGATGGACAGGTGGGTCGAAACAGCCAAACATCTTAGCCGGAGTCAGCTATAAGACAATGTTTTCGCAGCCTGTCACATCAGTCAGACAACCCTTATATGGATGAGAGTTCACACGGGCATCACATTCACTATGACAGGCCCAGCATGTTACACACTGTGGTTGCAAACAGCGTCAGCACACCTTGGCTTGTGCGTGTTGCTGCTGGATCATTAACTCGCATCAAGCTACCACAAGTCACCCATGAGCCGCTTTCCACCTCAATTTCAAAGCAGATTCAATTCTGGCCCCCAGCAGAGGAAACAAGTACCCAGCATGTGCGAGGAGGGACAATCGTGACATCTCGCTCATCTTGATTGCATACGGTCCAGATGTTTAACTAGATGTCCCTCTGTCTATCGGTACATACATATATATATATATATATTTTTTGTTTTGTCGTGTATTTACTCAGTAGTGTCTATTTACGCATACAGAAACAAGCACCTGCATGTACGTGTTGAAAGGCCTCAAGCAGTCCTGGCCGACCCCGAGGCGTTTGCCCAGTTGCCGCAGTAGTTGTCGCAGTACTTTGAGAACCAGACCTAAAGGCTCCATGTACTTTTATAGTAGATACTTAAGCCTTAACGGGGGTTAAGTATATACTATCAGGGTACATGGAGCCTTAGGGAAACTTCTAGAGCAGCCAACATCCCACGAGTCGGGATTGTACAGATGCTGCCTCACACCAGCCGCATATGCCACGTGCTGCTTGTCATGAATACTCTCGATGCTGGCAGCCACAACTTCCCAGCGGTGCCGAAAACGCCCCATGAACCCATGCCTGAGCTTGCACCGGATTGCTCTAAACCCTAAAGCCGCAACCCTAAACCCTGAACCCTAAACCCTCAACCCTCAACCCTAATTACACCCTAAATCCTAAACTGATCTTGCACCGGATTGCGCTCAACATGCCCTGGCGATGCGGCAAATCTTGTGCAACGTCCTTTGTGCTGGCCGAAGCCCGCGTTTCGACGCCTTTGAACTCCCAGGGTCCTAGCAGTGCATTGCTCTTAAAAGTCAGTCCCATAAAAGAAGTATACTATCATGTACTATAAATATACTGTAATATGCTATAATGTACTATAACATGCTATCATATACGATAGTCGACTATAGTATGCTAAAAGGCACTATTGTCGTAGCCTCAATTTCTAAGTGGAGCTGGACCAGAACGCAAAGTGGGGTCAGGTTAGCTTCTGCACGGTTTTCGTCATTGACCTTTTTGTGGCATGCCAGGTCCGTTGTCGCTAGAAAAGCTAGGTAGGGCTTTGGGATATTTTATATTTTCCCTTATTGGGCTTAAGAGGATCTCATTCACCAATTTTTCTCAAAGGCTTTAAAAGTCCCACCTAGACAGTATTTTTGCTGCATTCCAAAGAACATGACTTTGGGCCTGCACAGACCCGCCATGATCACCACGATCTTCGCGACTCTCGTGCAGATCCTGCAGCGGGCTCATTGTTTTTAGTAGTGCTTTCGTCGTTGCTAGTGAGTTGGCAAGAAGTGAGATGATATAACCAAGAGTCGAAGTGGGCCTGGCCATTGACCAGGCAGCCACCATAATGAACATGGGTTTGTTCCTGCTTCTGTTTCCGGTGTGCAACTTTTTCCGCCTCTTCCGTTTGCACTGTTCGAGAATTGCTCGAATGGGACCACGAATTTCAGGAAGATGCACCCCCCCCTAAAACCTACACCCTGAACTCCTAAACCCTAAACCCCTAAACGCCCTAAACCCCAACCCTTAAGCCGGAGCGTGAGCGTCGCAACGCCGCGGCTTGGCCTTAGAGATCTGTGCTCCGCGAAGGTGGGCCCTCGCCAATGCTCAGAAGTCAGCAGCCGGTCGAACATACATCGCACTACGTATTTCATGTATAAAATCAGAGAATTATACTGTACAGTCATATAATAGAAATATCATAGATTGCAGTCGTCTTGACGCACCGTGTCCGAAATGCCGGGCTGTCGTCTCTGTCTTCCGCAAATGAAGCATTCTGCACAAGTACTTGATCGACCAGGTGCAACTTAGCACTTCCAGTTGCATATCTCCGGTCTGGGTACTTGGGGACTCACAATGTGAAGCGACCCCATAAATGAACCTTCACACCCTCAAACCCCTCAAACCCCAAATTCACGCCTCTTCAGCCAGTTGACGTTCAAACCGTGAGACTCTACATACATCGCAAGCTGAAAAACCATATATCATATAGTAAAGTATTCTATAATATACCATAATATACTACATTGTATTGTAAATATACGATGGTATGCTGTGATATACTACCATCTGCAATCATATACCATCGTAATATACGGTACTGTACCAGTACTTTGACACACCGTAAACCCCAGAAAGTTGGAACATGGCTTTAGAAGGATTGGTGCTAGGATCCCTTATACTTTACTTTGAAGGGCATCAAGCTAATGATGTTCCAACTTTCTGGCTTCTACTATACCCATGTTCGACCCGCCGTCTTGGCCGAGAGATCTGGCCGGTGCTTGGGATACTCTGATGGGTTCCCTCTGTCTGGCATGTCGTTTCACAGCCCGGGCAAGTAAGAGGGCGATGTTTTTCTTACAATAAAGTATAGTAATATTGTCGCAAGTTTCGTATAACATAGCAATCCTAAACGAATCATAACAATAATGTAGGAGCCGAAACAAGCAGTAACGGTATATCACCTCTTAGTCCTTATAGTTTAGAATAGTAACAGTATCGCTTCTTCGTCCTTCTAATCAAGAAAAGTTGCAGTATCACCTCTTAGGCCCTACGATGAAGACTTGCACTATGCCTGACCTCGAAAACACCAGTGTATCCGCTTAGGTGACTGCAGCAGCTTGGGATTCGCTTTGTTCTGGTCATGAGGGCATGCTGCCAGGGTTGAGGGGCATGATTCGTGTCACAAAGGGGCCGCAACAATTATGCATACTATTCAACATTCCTTGGGGCTCCTTCTTATACTCATTCTGTACTATGCAACAAAACCCGATTCTAACTATGCGGGCCCTATCGTAGCCTGGGCTGTCAGAGATGCCAGAACTTTCTCACGGGCTTTTAGGTGAGGTCCCCGCCTGCGCTGGGCCAGACTCAGGTAGTTTGAGGCTCGATTTTCAACAAAACCGGCATGTTCGAGCGATTGAAGGCAGCGCAAGAAAAAGTCTTGTCGTTTGATGCACGGGGATTCTGAAAGCATAGTTGAAGCAGGCCTGCTAAATTCAGCGACTACCCTGCACTGGTAATGTACCAATCTTGTAACTGTGAGAGAGTCCCCGTTGTCGGTGGTACGTTGGGCCCTGGTTGTCGGGAATGCCGCTGGCTTTCGACAGAGACAAAGTAGTGTCATCTAAAGCACTTCTATTAGTTGGTTATTCTAATTTCGATTGTTGCTGTTGTTGATGTGCCCAGGTTTACCATAGTTATTGCGAAGATGACGTCCGGCATTTGAATTGCAGTTCTAGTTGCCACTAGCATAACGCATGCCGCATGCGATGGTTTTTCCCCCCTGTCACTGGCTTACGAGGTGCCCCAAAAGCCTAAACCCTCAACCTTAAAACCTAGGCTCTCACTAAACCCAAACCGCAAAAGCGGAGCCAGTTGCGGCGCGGCTTCAGTGAGCCATCCGCCTGCGGCCTGGTGTCATGCGAGCTGCGATGAGGTTAGGGTTTAGCGGTTTAGGGTTTTGGGGTTTAGGGTTGAGGGGTTTAGGGTTTAGGGGTGGTGGTGGTGGTGGTGGTGGTGGTGGTGGTGGTGGTGGTGGTGGTGGTGGTGGTGGTGGTGGTGGCAGCAATTGAAGTGTGGGAAGGGTAGCACGAGGAGGTGGTGTTGGTGGTGCCGCTGCTGGTACAGGCGGAGGTCGCGGTGGCAGTAGCGGTATAGCGGTAGTCAGGTAGTCGTCGTAGTAGCATTCAAGTAGTAGTCGTAGTCGTACTTTGGTAGTAGTAATAGTAGTAATAGTAGTAGTAGCAGCAGTAGTAGCATCAGAGAAGACGAACGGGGGAGGGAGGAGTAGGAGGATGTGCTACACCCTCTTGCTGTGGTCCCAGGTCGGAGAGGATCCTGCAGCCACATGGCGTCGAGCTCGGATTGCCTCACTTCGATCCTGGAGACGACGACTTTGCAGACACAACCCAATCCCTAGTAGAAGAGTAGGTAATGTTTAACCTTTCTTGGGTAGCATAGTCCCTAGGCCCTATGTAACCAAAAAGGTTAACCGACAAGTGGGAATCACATCGGTTCCCGACAAAAAAAATCTCACGCGAAAATGTTTGGAGTTTAGATCCCAATCTTTCTCACTGCCAAGCCTGAAGCCCAGCGAGGGCGACCCTAGTTTTCGGAGAGTTTGTTTATTGAGATTAAAGCCGGACTGATTGCATCATGTGTGTGCTCTCTTAGAAGCTGGCCCCCCCTGTAATAGTGGTATAATAGGAATATAATAGGAATATAATAGGGCCCTGATATAATCCTTATGGTAACTATTACAGGGTGGGGGCAGCTTCTAAGTGCTCTCCATCAGTATTTCTGCGGCTCAAGGTTTCTTTGTTTAGCCCTGTCCGAAGGTTAAGACTGGCCTTAAGAAAGATTAAAGTCCCAAATGCATGCTCCGGAGCCTTCGTGCCTTCTCCGCCCGCCACCAGGAATTAGGGTTTAGGGGTTTAGGAGTTCAGGGTTTAGGAGTTTAGGGTTTAGGGGTTTAGGTTTGCGGTTAAAACACTGGATCTCGCAAGACAAGGGTTCATGTAAAATGCTTCTGCAACTTTGGAAGCCTTGGATGTTTCTTGCTTCCCGTGCTGTTGCTATACTTCAGGGCTTAGGGTTTAGGCTCCAGGGTGTAGGGTTTAGGACTACTCCTTCCATTTCCGTCATCTGGCTTTTTGCGAGGATTATGCAGTGAGAGGGATGTGTATCGAATGCTTTCTGCGATATGGTTTCTCATGAAGCAGAACCCTGACCCAAAGAGCTTACTGCGGCGTGTCAAACTACAACCCGGTTCGTTGTCTATGACATCTATGAAATCAGTAACTGGGAGGGCCCAGAAAACTTTCAAATCATGGCTATGACCTGGCTTCGAAGAGCTCTTGCACTGGCATTGCTGAGCGCTTCGGCGGCTTTCGTTTCTCCGAGGCGCGTGTATCCAAAAGTTTTAAGCGTTCATCTACCCATAGGGCCTTTTGTTTCTTAAGTTGGAGTTGTTCATGGATTTCGAACTGTATAATTTAATATTGCTTAGGGACATTTCGGAAGCCCTACACTACCTCATAGCCCCTAAGCCCCTGTCTCTCATACCTAGACCCTAAACCCTGAACGGTGACCCCATGCCCTGCTATCGCCGAGTCCCTTCCCTTCCCTATCCTTCCATGAGGGACACAAAAAGCACATAAGCATAAGCATGTTATAGGGATGTCCCTACCTTATTGGCGTTCTTTATAAGGGGGTTTATATGGCATATCCCTATCCTAATTGTTGCTTATGCTTTTTTGGGGCCCTAATATAAGTACTTACCTATAATATTTTGGAGTTTCTTTGTTAAACTTATGGTAAAATGGGCCCCGAAACCCTATTCTAATCTATTCCCTTCCATGCTGGCCAGGAGCCCTCAGCTGCGACCTCGCGCGCGTGCCAGGCAGTCGGGATGCTGCGGTAGCGCTCCTGGTCCTAGTATGTCCTAGTAGTAGTAGTAGTAGTAGTAGTAGTAGTAGTAGTAGTAGTAGTAGTAGTAGTAGTAGTAGTAGTAGGAGTAGGAGTAGGAGTAGGAGTAGGAGTAGTAGTAGGAGGAGTCGTAGTAGGAGTAGTAGGAGGAGTAGGAGTAGGAGTACGAGCAGGAGGAAGAGGAAGGAGAAGGAGAAAGAGTAGCAGCAGTACTGAGAGGCTTCTGCTACTAGTACTACTACTACTACTACTACTACTACTACTACTACTACTACTACTACTACTACCACTCCTGCTACCCCTCCTCCGCCTCCTCCTCGGCCCTTTGCTGCTACTACTTCTACTACTACTGCTACTCTAACGACTGCTACTAATATTACAACTAGGACGACTGCTCAAAATGGATGGGCTTGAACGAAGTAAACCACACCATGAAGCACATTGTTTAGGGTGTAGGGCCGCATACACGATGCATGGTTTAGACTGGCCCAGAAGCAGACATGCCATGTGCGAGCTCACCATGACGGAGGCCCCCTGTTCAGCGTCACGCAGCGCCAAAGCGAGCGCTGCTGCCAATCTCTATGACACTCTGCCAAGCTCATTTGCAGCGTCGTGTTTCTGGAGTGCTAGGTGCTATGAAGAGATGTTTCAAATCAGTCGTGGCCGGAATTTGTGTTGCATGCCTCAGAGATTGTGCAATCTGGAGTTTCCGAAAAGAGGGGACCCTAACATAGTACCCTAAATAGTAGGATCCTTATTATAAGTACCCCCAGATTAGGTACCCCTCATTGTCGGAAACTCCCGAATCTGAGGTCAGTCTTTGTGCAGATGCTCGGAGAAGGCTGATCTCCTCGTGCACCCTCAGTCTTAGCTTGGGTTAGTAGGGAATGGTTACTATAGGGGATCTATAAGGGTTACTATAAGGGATCTATAAGGGTACTATAATATAGGGGCCTTAAGAATCCTATAACTTACCTTGGGTTAGTAGGGAATGGAGGAATGGGGTACGGGTACAATCATATCTACTATTACTACCATTCTTCCATTCCCTACTAACCAAAGGTAAGCAGTGGTAGGATTGGTTCACATCCAAGAAGACATATGGGTGGTTGTCAAGATTAAGGTCCCTTTCTGGGTACCCTAAATAATTAATAGGTGCCGTATTATACTAAGGACACAAAAAGGGACCCTAATTTTGACAACCACCCATATAGTGGCATACATTCTGTCAACATGAACCACTTCTGATGGGCAAACCTGCTTGTGCCTCTCCGCGTTCAGTCCTTGGCAGCCCGTGCCAGCTTCCCTGCTCCGCCTCGGTGTCCTTCCTTGGGTGAAGCCTCAGATGCCAAGATCTCCTGAGAGCGAGGGTTTAGGGTTTATATGGGAGTTTCCGAAAATTGGGGGTACCTTTTTGGGGGTCCCGATAATAAGGATCCTACTATTTAAGGTACTAGATTAGGGTCCCCTGTTTTCGGAAACTCCCATATAGATAACCCCAAGGGTCCAAGTACCTTATTATCATATACTCTCCAACTTCCTAACCTACATAACTACTATCCTAAAACCGAGTACCTCATTATTGGGTCCTTTGGACCCTTAGGGTAAGGGCTAAACCCTAAACCCTGTATCCTAGATTTGATGCAGGCATCGCGATCTCGAGCATTCCATTGCACTTGGTTTCCTTTGGGGCTTCAGCCATCACGGTTGGCCTTGTTCCTAGACCGCAACGAAACTGCAGAAACGTGTGGGTACTCGAGGGTTTGAAGATTTCAATGTTCCTTCTGGCGCCCAGTTGGCTGTAGAGCATAGTGTACCCCAAGATTCCCGTAGATTTCAATCCCACAGCGGGAGTCGAGGTCATTGAGATAGCATGCTAAGACGAGTAACAGTATCGTCATCGTGTTGAGTTATCATTCAGATAGCCAGTATTGTTGCTGCTAAGATGATGTCAATGAAGGCTGTTAGATCTAGCTGCTGATGTCATATTTACTTGGCCCTAGGATCGCAGAGTCGCAGGTTCGCACTTTGGGCTGTGATGAATGGGTAGGTACTTCGACCCTTGCGGCCATGCTATCTCATGTGTAGCAAAGTCGGGAGGGTTTGCACGGAAACGCCACCTGCTTGACGTTCCTTCCCTTTGACATGAGACGACTAATGGCCGCAGCAAGAGATCTATCAGGACGGTCGACCGGCAGCGAAAGCATTGTTATGTCAGGCGGAGGGTGCATTATCATGAAGATGATTGTCACCTGTTCATGCTACTTGTACTATCCTTTATGCTGCATTCCTACTGTACTGCTCCTTTTCGAGCATGATGCCACTGTATCTGTTTTGGCTGATTGCAACACGGCTTGTACAATTGATTTGCTACCATCGTGGAGAGTAGGTACGGAGGCCTTCCAGGTCTTGTGATTAGGATTGAAGGCCTAGGGGGTTAGGGGGTTGGACTTTATGATTCATATAGGCTTAGGGTTGGGGATTGTTACAGTTCATTTTGGCCACAACAAACTACAGGCGTCGGGATATGGAAGTTTCTGGAAATAGGTTGCCCGAATATAGTTAGTAGCCCTAAATAGTAGGAGCCTTATTATAAGGATCCCCAAAATAAGGTACCCCTAATTTTCGGAAACTCCCCTGTTTAACAGGATCATGCCATTGAGTTCACTGCCGGCCTTTGTTTTTTTTCCAAGTTCTCAGTGGCATTCCCAAAGGGTCCAAGTATCATCCTGGTATATACTTGTAGGGTATTTTGGGGGTCTAAGTATGTCCCATGACGATACTTGGACCCTTTGGCACTGTTTCTGTTCATCATGCTCATGCTTTGCATTTGGAATGCTCTCTGCCGGTTCCTAAGGGTATTCATAAACAATCAGGCGACACTTAAGCGTGTGCTCGCTTGCGCTCCATCCTTTCGATCGCTGCTGGATAGATAGATGGATAGATAGATAGATAGATCGACGGAAAGTAAGTGCAATATAAGTAGCATTACTTTTTCGAGTTCACGCAGTCATGTGATTGCTAGTTGATATCGGCTCTTAGAGTCGAGACTTGGTCAACCATCGACATGTGAGTCGCAGGCTTGCGTGCAACAAAGTCTTATTCACAGTGTAGTCCATGATATGACTGCTATCATTCCGGTGATGTTGAGTACTGATACGCGTGTCACGATCTGTGTCAGTACCGCTATCGTGCACGGAAGCCAACTGTATTGCGCTGGGTCATAACTTGACTAGCAGTGGTTCTGCTACGCACGAAATGTGTCGATGAGACATACATACCCTAGACCTTAAACCTCAGGCACTACGCGAACCTAAAATCCTAAACCAGTGAAACCTAAATCCTGTGCTTGCAGCCAAGGCTACCAGCTGTTTCTCCTTTGCTCAGATGATGTGCTGCCCGCTTTTCGGCCCGAAGAGCATT